CAAAAGATGAGGCGAGATCGAATAACAACCAAAAATAGCAGAAACAATAAAACGAGAAACAGAAGGAATAGGATGAGGAAGGAAGAGAGGAGATAGAATAAAAAGTTCTCAGAATAAACACATTCAAAGGTAGCGATGGAAAAAAAAATTTACATTCCCTAAGAGTGCATTATTTTCAAGGTAGTTATTTCAGTTCCAGCACTAAATCAGTAAATGATCAGAATAAACAAAAATTCATTGGCTTCATTTCAAAGCGGATCTTAAATGTCTATGTGTTATGTCTGTAAAGTTAATACAACCGGGTAATTTAGGAAATTACAAGTTACCTGGATAATGAATTATAGAGGAAATGTTTGGAAATAATGCAGTGTGGAACCAAAGAGAAAAACAATGAAGGACTATCAGAGATAACAAGCTCATCACAGTCTAGGCACTAAATTCTGAAGGAAGCAGACGTCACCTATTTAATTTGTATGTAATATAAACAAATACTAGTATTGTGAGGGTTTAGTTATCTTATTAATTGCTTGACATGTGACCTGGAACAGTCACTTAATTTTTACAGGGCTGACATTTTCTAGAGGAAACGAGCACATTCGAAGTAGGTTAATTACAATTCGTAACCAGGTTTGCCTATAATTATCCATGAACTCTGAGCGTCGTGCTGCCCCCGTGTGGTAGCTATAGTAACAGATTAGCATCTTCAAAATAGAAGGGGGGAAAAAAAACAACAGAGCGAAGTAATTGCAGGCAAATGTACGAGATTTCATTAAAGCTAGCCACACTGGTGTAATAAAACACAATGATATTGAACCATCAAACGACAAAATGACAAGGTCAAACAATCATTTCAAACAGATTGAATTGCCTACGGATAAAATGTTGTTTACCTGGAATATCCCCATAGTAATTGAGTTGCAAAAATGATGCAACAGTGTAAGATTCAGTCTCCTCTTACATAAAAATCCTCTATACAATCCTGAGCATTGAGCCACACAGGATTTCCAAAAGTAGACAAATAAAAAATATCTCATCAGAATACGGCTTTCAAACCGTTTTGTCGTTTTTTTTAAAAAAACATCAATTCCTCTGTAAAATAAACATTTAAAAATGTGATACACAGATGCAGAAAACATTTATGATTTCTGAAACTGATTTAAAGTGATAAAAGAATAAAGAGGCAGACTTTCTTGAAATCGTTACCTGAAATCGCCAATTCTGAGAAAATGATGTTTTGTTCTGATGTTTCAAAATATCATTTCTGTTAATAACCTACAACGTAATGTTACAGTTAAATATAACCCAGAGCTCTTAAAGTGTCTGTATATCAACATAGGAGATCAGCATGAATTTTAATATCTCTAGTAGCGAACTTCAAAATGTGACTGTACATATTTTTTCTTATCGCTCCAACAGACACAGCATTCACCACCTGCTGCAAACTTCATAATCCGATATGTATATATTAGGTATATTATCATTAAATATTTCCTTCACTCAGATCAGAATTTGGATCACTCGTAAAAAGAAAATCCCAGCTACATTTGCTGACCCAACATGACAGATTAAAGTTCTCATCTTTGATATTAATCGCTTAAAAAAAAAAAGGTTCACTAATATTTCCTTTACCAAGAGCATGAAAAAAAATAAAATCCTTTCATATCAAGTATACTTTTTGAATAAAACAGACAAGTGGATAAAAAGTGAAATACTGCTTACTGAATCATTCAAATCTTCTGGGTTAATGGCAAAGAATTATTAACAATATTACTATCATAATTTATGAAGCTAGTTCAATTCTGAAAATGGAATTTGTTGCAAATTTTTTTTTGAAAATCATGCATAATTTCTTCATATCATACTTTTTAATAAAACTTTGACAATTCCTCATTTTCACTCATTAAATATTGCCTAAACAATATTCAGGACTTTATCCAGGAGCACACATAGTCCCCTAAGAATGACATGTACATAAAAGCTAAAATCAAAACCAGAAAGTGAAAATTGTCATAGAAAATAGATGAGGTGCTGTGAAAGGCCAGAGGTTCTTACTATTAGCAGAATGAAATAAATGAGGAGGTGCTATTTGAATGGGACAGCCAAAGATAAGTTTAATATAGATTCAGAAAGTAAAGACAAAGACACAAGAAAGTTGGGAAGAACAAAGTCGAAACCACGAAAGCCAAAGTGAGTGGTCGGAGTTTGAGTCTAAAGGAGAATTATAGGAGAAAGTTTTGCTAAGAGCAGGTACATAAAAGAATTGGAAATGTAACTGAGTCATCAGAGGTGTTGAAGTTAGAAATACCCAAATTACAGAGGTTCTAGACTTAAACATTTGTAAAAGCACTTACTTTATTCATTAAAAATTGGAGTTCGTGCAACTTCAGATCAATTTTAATAAAATGGACCTTTCATTCTGTGGAGTTTCTCTCCAGAGAAATCAATATGTACATATGTTGTTTCAAGTATCTGAAAAAAGAACTATTAAAATATTTGGATTCTTAGCAGAAGTTTACCAAACCTCTCTCTGTTTTCCACGTTTTATCACATTTCTTCCATTGACATAGTCTGGTGAAGGAAAGTCCATTTCACAATTTAATTCAATGCATTTTCAAGAAACAAACTAATGTCAAACTATTAATCTCTGCACTACTCTCAATATTGAATTAAAAAATTTTAAGCAAGTACCAGATGTTCTGTTACCGTAACGCCAAGCATCTAGATTCGTTTGAGTTATTCATCTGAATTCTAATTGCCTAAAATTTCTGCCTGCTCAATCTTACATGTTTTTGCTTCACAGAGATATTAGATAAACTTTGTTCCATTGCATTCATACATATTTTCCCCAAATTCAATTTCTTTTTTTTTTTTTGTATTTCTTTTAAATGTTCTTTACATATGCATTCCACATGAGATTTCTAGTCAGCAAGAGGCTCAGGATAATCCTGTTCCCTTACATGTCTTTGTAGCTTTATTCTCTTCTTCTGTTTCTGCTTTTGACATTATTAACTGCTTTCTCAAACTTTGCAGACGAGTGACAGGACTAGACATTGTATAAATTGAAATCAAAGCTGACTTAAGGAAAAACTGAGTATTTTGAAGTGCAAATTACACATTTTTAATTGCGTCCATTAGTTTTCTGATATCCTGTGCTATTGTTTTTGAAAGAAGATTGTTTGAATCTGGTTAAGATAAATGGACTAAAAACGAATGTCTTTCTCTGTTTGTCTGAACATTGTATTGAGTTTTTCAGTTGATGAAGTTAATATTTTTATTAATTGAATCACATGTTAAACATATTAAACATATTAAAAACTTGATTATCTAACATCCGTTCAAAAATATGACAGCTTTTTTCTATTTACACCCAACTAATCTCATTTCAATGTTGATTGTATAGCTTAATTTTTATGTATTCATAATTTACACTCAACTCATTTTATCTTTTAAAATTATCCTTTAACATTCATTGTACTATCTGGATTTCTTCTACATAAATTGAGAAAAATATTTTTAAAGTATTATAGTCATTTTATTTCTGCAAATTTAGCTCTGTGGCTTACTGGTAATTCATTTCATCGGTGACTATTTATTTAATTGCCTTTAGACCTTTTGTTATGAATACCTGATCTATAAATGACTAATTATTAAAACAAAAAACTCCCCAAACTCCCAATTCTGAGGGAAATTCCGAACATTGGAATAGGTAAGGGAAATCCTGTGGCTTTTAGACAATCTATTGTTGATAAAATTCAAGAAGTGACAGGAAACTAAGTCTTTGGAAACTTTGATCCTAGCTACCCTGATGGTGGGTTTCTTGTCCTCAAATGATTTCGCATGCAGTATCTGCTTCATTGCATTGGGTTGCATTAATTGAAATTCTGCCAGATCAAGACTCGCTGAGATGTCTTTGGAGTGTAACAGCAAAACATTTACCAATGCTACAGTATGACTCTGACTGGCTAAGAAATTCCTACTAATATGACTCTAGATTAAGAGGGGAATTACAGGTAAATTCACTGTCCAGGACCAGTAAGCTCAAAGACAGAAGAACCCCCGACAACAAAATCCTGAACAAGTGGCACTGTGGCAAATTAAATAACGAAAGGGATACAATTGAGCCACTAGACTCCTGCCTTATCCAGTTGCTACTCTGGGGGTTGGGATTCATTGGGTTAATCTACACTTTGGCAAAAAAAAAAAAAAAGGAAACTCGTGCTTACTTCTTTCTCTTCATTCTGCATCAGAACTTTCTCCCAGATCTCCAAGAAACCTGGAACTGTGAATGGCACTGATACCATACATTGGTCAAATCATTGATAGCACAGTGACATATTTATGATGTGGTTATGTTTGAACCCTTACAAGCAAAAAAATAAAACACAAGGGTTTTAAAACAAATCCTGATTGCAAACCAGGAAATGCCCAATGGAAACACATATCTTTAAGTTGGAACAAACAGCTAGAGACAGTTGACCAAACTGTTTACAACGATGCGTGGGTTTTTCAATCCTTTCTAGAAATGACCTACCATTCACTTCACTTCTAAGGAGAAAAACAGATTGTTGAGTGCTAATACAGAAAATAATTAGGTGGTATCCCTTATTTTGCTATTTCTATGTACCAAAGTCTTTTTTGAAACTTTTCTTCGTGAAACAGCTAACATTCTCATTTGTTTTCTATGTCCCAATTGCAAAAATGGACCAAGCAACCACAAGAAAACAATAGCATCGTTAAGTACCATTTAACTCGTTTTAGAAGTGAAACAATTTTTTCCTTAGAAGTGATTGGTTTCCTTTCTTATCTAATGAAAATCAGTATAGAAATCCCCTGTTGCACTGCTCATTAAAAAAATGAAAATCAGGCTGAGAAATGCAGACTTGTTGCTGTAACCGATTCTCTCCCCACGTGGGTTAAAAACACCCGTGTATAAAAGCAGCTTTGAAGTTGATGCGAGCTGTGTTTCTGACTGTCATGTTGATTCTTCCCACACCATGCAGCCAAGCCCACCAATCACCGGCCGGCAGAGGGCTCCGTGTCCACCGTGTCCACTGGCTCCTCCGGCAGCAGCTTTGGCAGTGGGTACAGCATGGACAGCGAGGGCAGCAGCAGCACCGCAGGGGAGACTAACCTATTCCCTATTCCCAGGATGTAAGTGCGTCCTCCCTCGCCCCTTTGCCCCCTTGCTGCCTTCCTCCTTCGCTTTCTTCCTTTCTTCTTTCTTCCCCACCTCACCCCCCTTTTCTTGCAAGACTTATTGGAAAGGCAGATTTACAGAGAGAAGGAGAAACAAATATCTTCCATCTACTGGAAGCAGTGTAATATTCAGAGTTCACTGTGAATATTGTAATACAGTGTAATATTGCAGTTCACTCTGCAAGCAGTGTAATATTCAGAGCTGAGCTGATCCAAAGCCAGCAGCCAGTAACTTCTGGTTCGCCCAAATGGATGCAGGGTCCCGAGGCTTTGTGCTATCCTCTGCTGCCTTCTTAGGCCAGAAAAAGGAAACGGGATATGGGAAGTGGAGAAGCCAGGACATGAACCAGCGCCCATAAGGGAGGTTGGCTGTTGGAGGTGGGAGACTGACCTGTTGAGCAAATGTGCCAGCCACAGAGTCTTCTTTCCTACAGTGGTAAAGTATCACAAAGCAAGCAAAACATTTGACAGAAGAAAGCTGAATAATCATTCAATTGTAATTCGTTAATACCGAAACACTTAAACTGCTTGTGCCTACATGAAAATGGATTGTTAGGGAAAGATCCAATTCATGGTTAGAATGAATGCTGGTCACTTTGAGGACTACTTCATGTCAATTGCATTTAATATAAAAATTGCCAAAATAGTGACTTGACCATGCAGAATAAAGTTAAGCAGCAGTACACTCCTATTCCCACCACTTCATGATCAAACATACATACACACAAAATTATTCTTATATTAAACATTACATTATCTGGAGAGAAACAGATTTGTTTATTTGGACTTAGGAATGATTTTAAAAGAGCCAGGAGACTCATACAGCCTACTGGAAATAGACACATGAAATTCATCAATTCAACTGTAAATCCCTTGGCAATTCAATGGACGGTTTTGAGGAGTTTCTAGGACAAACGTGTAATAGTAGGTAGGTACCTGAGCAACTGCTCTTGGAGAAAGCTCATTCAAAAGGTTGGGCCTCAGGAAATTCATTCATCAGATGTGAAAATAAAGCAGGTTGTGTTTAAAAATAATTCAGAATAGATTTAATCACAAGGTGGGTCAAATTCTGCAGGTTTCAAGATGAACATGTATAGTATATCTGGGTCAAAATCCAATAAGGAAATCCAAATTTCTGGAACTTTCCTTCTCTGCTCCATTTACTAGTCCGGGTTTTGAAAATACCACTAGGCCATCCGTAGGCCTAGAATGCAGTTTAGGTTCAATCCAGCACATCGCCTGGTTTAGGAGGCTTGTCAACTGAATATGACTTTGACATTTTCAAACGTTCAAAGCTTTTTTTTTTTTAATGAATATTTTGCAAGATGAAAAAATCAAATGAAACTTAAGTTTCTTTGAACATGAACATTGGAGAACACAGCCATACCCTGGCTTGTATGCTGCCTGATGTTGCTTTTAAACAACTCAGAACAGAACCAGGAAGGTATAACAAAGCTATCTAGCCCTTCCCAGGACCCTACTTGGGTGTTGGTTAAAGGCAATTTTTTAATTTCTTCTAATACTGAGAGAAGAAATTAGTAGCAAAGGTTTTGGCAATTTTTTTAAACTTGTACCACATATAATTTGAATTCTAACAATATATCTATAAATTTCAAAATACGTAGGTGATAAAGTTACATCTTCCACTCTTAGCTCCTCCATTTCTTAATGTCTGAAGTAGCAACATAAAAATTACATGCCTCAGGCCCAGCACAGTAGCCTACAGACTAAAGTCCTTGCTTTGCATGCACCAGAATCCCATATGGTCACCAGTTCTAATCCCAGCAACCCTGCTTCCCATCCTGCTCCCTGCTTGTGGCCTGGGAAAGCAGTCAAGGACAGCCCAAAGCCTTGGGACCCTGCACCTGCACGGGAGACCAGGCAGAAGTTCCTGGCTCCTGGCTTCAGATCAGCTTAGTGCTGTCTGTTGTGGCCACTTGGTGAATGAACCAGCAGATGGAAGATCTTTCTGTCTCTCCTCCTCTCTGTATATCTATAAATCTACCTTTCCAATAAAAATAATAAATAAATCTTTTAAAAAACCTCGATGCCTCTTTTCTTTCATCTTTCCCTGCTTCTTTCATTAGTGGAGGCATTTCGCAAGTGTCCACAGAGAGTAATTTTGTAGGAATTCCTTTGATTAATTGTTAATAACCATACATATGTATAATATTAAAATGTATATATATATATATATACATAACATTTTTAACAAACACAAAGGGGCTGTGGATGATGTAAGGGGTTAATGCCAGCATCCCACCTGTGCGCCAGTTTAGGTGCTGGTTACTCCGTTTCCAATCCAGCTGATGCTGTATGGAAACCTGGGAAAGCAGAAGATGCCAGAGACCCAAATGACCCTCCTGACTCCTGGCTTGTTCTGGCTCAACCCTATCCATTGCACTCATTTGGGGCAGTGAGCCAGCAGATAGGAGATCTCCCTTTTGTTTGTCTCTCCATCTTTCTAATGAATAAATATTCGTAAGTCGTGGTATTTGATGGTACTTCTACCTGCCTTGTATACCCAACATCATTGTTGCTTGAGCTAATTTGTATTTGGTGATTGAGTAAACATTTGAATTATAAAATCTGTAAGTTAGTTTTTAGCTGAAGAATACTGGGACTTTGAAAAGTCCCCCTGTGACCCACAGTCACCTTTATTTGTACTTCATGTGACCTCACAGTGCCACAAACATTCATGTAAAATCTTCAAGATGTGCTTGTTACACACTTGAGTTAAATGTCTAAGTTAAAATCGGTTTCAAATCTACATTAAATCCACTTTCATTAGAAGCAAAGGCTGTGAAGTTTGTGACGTCTAGAACTCAAGAACAGATCTTAAAAGCGATCAAAAATATTTATTTAAAATTTTTCAAAATTACCATAACTTTATAAGATGTTTGATGTTTGTAGGCTTTTCGAGGTACATGATTCCTGTATATATGGGACAGTAGCATCTCAGGGTAGTTAGCACATCTGGTGGCTTGAAACTTCTCATCATTTCCTTTTATAAAGAGTGCATTGAAAATTCTCTATACTACCTATTCTGATATGTATATACATATATGAAAATATGTACGTATAATTATAGACACCAGAACTTTTTTCTTCCATTGCAACTATAATACTATGTGCAATGAACAACCTGTTACCACCTTTCTCCTGAAGCTCCCTTCTCTCTGATAACTATTGCTATTTTCTCAACTCTGATTCGATCAACTGATTCCTCATAAGTGAGGTCATGTGAAATTTTCTTTATGTGCCTGACTTATTGTAGTTATCAACACATGTCCTTCAGGCCCATCCATTTTGTCACAAATGAGAGGATTTCAACTTTTTTTGTTCCTGAAGAGTAGTTCATTGTGTATTGAAGCTGTATGTTCTTTATCCGTTGATAGTAATGGCTATTTTTTAAATTATTGTGGAGTCTACTGAGAGTCATTGTTTTTCCAGTACTCTGATGAGGTAGACCCCTTACTTTCAAAAGTTTTCCTCAGCAGCGAGACATCTGCTGACACACTGTGCTACTAGGACAGAGTGTACTGCTAAGGTGAGATTACGCCAAACCAGTAAGCTGCCCCTTCAATCTCATTGTAACAGAGTGACAAGAGCTTAACTTTTTCCACTACTTGTCTTGGATCGAAAAGAGGCAATGGTATAAAGATTTGTATACTGCTTCTACAAGAACATGTATACATGTATCAAACATGTCAGAAACCACATCATTTGCACTTGGTTCCTTACAAAATCATTCATAAATATTTGTACAGAAACCTGTGGCCTAGAGTTGTCATATTAGGGCAACATAATGGCTTTCAAGAAAAAAACGAATTCCTGGGGTCAGATGTGTTCCTCTTTTATGATGTGCAGGGACTATGTCAGCATCTCCTTTCAAGTAGAATATTAAGAGGATCTTGAGGGAAGTTTCCAAGTAAGACATAATTGGTTCTTGGGAAAGAAGGACAGTTACATTTTCAGCAGTGCAGTGAACCAAAAACTAATTTTTAAAGTAAATTCTACTATGTTATTGTTTAGAAAGTACAATATCAAAATGTTCTTGTATTTAACTTTACAATCTTCTTAGTATGCAAGAGGTTTTACTTCATTCTTATAACATATATTATCTAAGTACATACAAAGAAAATTATGAAAGCTTTTGGATGCAATCTAGCGTTGCCTTGGCTGCAGAAACAGGAAGTGGCTCCCAGTCTTCTGACCGTTACCATTGACAATGCTCTAAGCTCTCAGTGTTCAGATTGAAGAATTCTTCATCATAGCTGCGCAAGAAATTTGAGACCGAAGTCAAAAGTGAGAAGCAAGCTGTAGCTGAATTCTCACGTTGACATGTGCGAAATGACCTATTAGTGCTTTGTTCACTTAAGACTTAAAATTTCTGACACCGTGGTAAAGCCTTTACATATGTTTTCCGTTAGATAACCACAGAATGGAAAAGACGTCTCTCTCTGCTCCTCCATCACAAACACAGGCGAAGGTTGAGCAGGTGCTTGGCCGTGTGTGGCGTATAACAAGACACAGCAGCTATTGAAGCAGAAACCCACTTCCAAAGCAACTTGATTTCAGAGGTCCATTTCCTCAGCATAGCCCATAGTAAAGGAATGACCTGGGCGGAAAAAATCACTAAATGATTCAAAGAGATGTTAATCACATCATTTCATGTTGTTTAATTCAGTATCTTCCTTTTTAGCAAAGAACCCATCTCGCTTCAAAGTTTTTTTTTTTTAAAGAAACAATTATTTAAAACTAAAATTTAAAAACCATTATGTTGTTCTGATATTTTGGAAAATGAACCCACAACCCAGATATACTTAATTTTGAAGTGTAACATTTGGACTAAATAGAAATAATAAGCCAGTTTCCATTTTCAAATTAATACCGCATAGAGAAATTATCTATGCATATCATGCCATCAGTTTGTCACAGATCTGAATATATGAAGTTTCAGCTTTGAAAACTTAGCATCCTCATTGCATTCATGATTATATCTTATAATGTCGCGTGTGTCCTTTTGAAACAGAGGGAAGATGGTCCAGAATGGACAGGAGCCCGTGAAGCAGCCGGGAGTAGGAATAGGCTTAGCAGACACTGAAGGTAAGCTGGACTTCACAGTATTGGCTCTTCTTTTGGGTCTCCAAGTGTTTGGTTTTGCTTTTCTCTTGGCCTAAATGTGATTGTCTAAATACAAAGGACCAACGCCCTAGGTAGCAAATCAATATTCACTAAATGAAAAGGGCTGTATGCATCTCAAGAAAATTCTTACCCTTCTACAGAGCTGAGAAGAAACTAATGGTACCAAGCAGCATGTTACGGTTCACTCCATCACAGGACTACTTTTGTTGGGGGAAAAACTGCACGTATTTGTGGAGTTCCACCTGCTGATTCAGTGCGCATATCCACAGGACCAGAATGATTCTATTCCTCTGGGTTTCTGTCCTGGAAACTCCAGCAGTAACTCCGTGAGCACTGGTCTTGGGGCTAGAGGTACTTGGATCTCATCAGATGCAGTTCTGAGTTCTTCCTCTGCCCTCAGGTTGTGCAGGGGGAGTCTTACTGTGCTCTCCGTGAGGGACAATCTGAATGTGGAATCTGCAGGTACAGGCTTGGGGACGAGGCAGGGAACTCTCTCTGACTGTCCACCCAGCACTGGGACTCGGTTCCTACACCCCCTCCCGCTGAGTACCGGCTTCCCCGTTCGTTCCACATCACTTGGAGCTGGTGTCATGGCAACACAGGCTAGTCTTTCCTTCCACTTTGTTCCGTGAGACCTCCTGCCATTCCATGTGCAACAGGCACCGAGACCTCTTCTGTAGCTCCCGTGAAGGTGGCCCGCTGGGTGACTTTGCGGTTCAAATTAATGTCTTCGTGGAGAGGGTGGTCACTGGAGCATACTCACGGCTAAAGTAAAACTCAATCTAAGATTGAATTTGATTTTACAAAACAGGTAACAAATTATCTTACAAATGTGGATGAAAATCTCCATTTCAGCAGACTTGAGTGAGTCTGTAAGTAGTACAACGACAAGCTTAGTTTTTTGGTACCATTATAAGGCATCGGTAATTCTGTGATTCTTCGTGTCTGCACCAATCTAAACCGTTTTCACACTTCTAAGTGCTTTACGCTACTGTAAGCCCTTTGCATGTGTTTCATTTTATCCTCACAATAATCTGTGAAAATAATCATTATAATTATCTTACAATAATTCTTACATAACTTGCCCTGGCTACCACGAAAGAAAACGAAAATGCAAATATCGCACAAAAGATTGAACCCAGGAAAATGACAGGCAACGTCATGCTATTTAAAAGAATGATTGTGCGAAAGGACACTTTGAGTTCAGGTCACGGGAGACTTGAGTTCCAAATCTGATGTATCGGCAAGGTGTGAACCGGTTCCTGTATCTTCGGCATCTTCGGAGGAGGAATGTCGGTTCTGGATGTCTCGACTTCTCCTGGACCTAAATGAATACCACATTTTTTTTTTTCTAGATCTACACAGGATCCACCAGTTTTCTTTGTACTCATTCCAAAGTTCTGCCTTTTCCATCTCTTATCATGTTTCCTGGGGCTACTTATTGTAATTTCTCTTTAAATCGGAATTTTTTTCACTGAAATTCTTAGCAAAAAAATTCATCAGCGATTGGTTGATTCGTTCCAGAGCCACGGCTGCTAGTTCCCAAGAATTCAGACTCAGATTATTAAAGTCCATCAGCTTTTCATGTGAAAGAAATAGAAGCCACTGTGTTTTTGAAATGTAAGAAGGTTGTACCCGGCATGATAGCCTAGTGGCTAAATCCTTGCCTGGGTTCCCATGCAGGTACCAGTTCACATTCCAGATGCTCCACTTTCCATCCAGCTCTCTATTTGTGGCCTGGGAAAGCAGACAAGAATGACCTAAAACCTTGGGACCCTGCACCCATGTGGGATACCCAGAGCAAGCTACCGGCTCCTGGCTTCGCATCAGCTTAGCTCTGGCCATTGTGGCCACTAGAAAAGTAATTAAGTGGATGGAAGATATTTCTATCTCTCCTCTCTTTGTAACTCTGCCTTTAGAGTAAAAAGAAATAAATCCTTAAAAAAAAAAACAATTAGAAATATGAGAAGTTTATGGATTGCAATTGCTTATATACTCATTAGAATGGCAAGAGGTAGTTTCCTTCCCTGTAGCGCTGCAAGTAAGAGCTGTGGCTGGGTTAGGGGACTAGAACAAGCTTGTGTGGCTGGGTTAGGGGATGTTAGGGGGCGGAGGAGAAACACAGAACTTTCTCCTGAGACAGAAAACAAAGGGGCCTGATTTCCTCCTCCCTTCCATTGGCTGGAGAGTGTGGGGACCAACTCATAGGAAACTCTGGTAAACGCCTAGGGGTGAGCAGACACAATGGGAGAGCCTGAGGGAAGAGCCAGGGAAAGTAAAGGCCCCGGGGAGAGTCAGGGGCAAAAAAATAAAAAGGCTCAACTAACAGCGGCTAAACCCAAACTCAGCACAAAAATCTCATTTGGAAAACTCGTGTGTGTTTCCAACTACAGAAGTTCTCAGTGTAACTCACTCCAGCCCAATACTGCCTACTCATGCTTCTAGGCTCTTGCACTACTCATAAAATTTACACCTGTGTACCAGAACTCGCCTTCTGCATCATTGCTGTTCGATGGCAAGGACGTGCTACTGTGCTAGCCTTCTCCACAAGACTGACTCTCAGACCAGACGTGTGATTTATTCAACCTGATGCCACAGGACTTAGCAGAAACTTTTGCCCTCAGATTGCTTAAAAATGTCTTTGAGTGCCAGGTGTGGTGGCCTAGCAGCTCAAGCCCTCATCTTGCTCACACCGGGATCCCATACAGGTGCCGGTTCTAATCCCAGCAGCCTTGCTTCCTATCCAGCTCCCTGCCTGTGGCCTTTGGAAAGCAGTCGACGATGGCCCAAAGCCTTGGGATCCTGCACCTGCGTGGGAGACCTGGAAAAGGCTCCTGGCTCCTGGCTCCTGGCTCCTGGCTATGGATCAGCTTAGTTTGGCCATTGCGGCCTCCTGGGGAGTGAATCAACAGCCGATTTTCCTTTCTGTCTCTCCTCCTTTCTGTACAACTAACTTCCCCAGCCTCCCCAAAAATGTCCTTTGAACAAATGAATGACCTTAAACATTAAAATCAAGAATCCCGTATTTTCATCTATGAAACATTATCTGTAAATTTTAGCTACTTTAATCTTTTAAACGTTTATAAGTCAAAATATTTTAGAATGAAAGTTAACAGCTCTCAATGAGTAGAAATTGCTCATCTTGGTACAGCTTACTTCTTCTTTCATATCTGTTCTCCCTAAACAAGTTTGTTTTCCAAAAAGGAGCCAATCAGAATCTAGCTAATATTTACTTAAACATATGAATCGACATGTTTATACATCAATGGGCTGAGTATAGTCAATAAGTGATCTTACATCAGCTGTGGAGCAGAGGAAACGGGTTGAGAAAACGAGTGAAACAGAATAGGCAATGTAACATAATTCATTTATAGACACGTGCCCTCTTGGTAGCAATATCCAGATAGGATTTTGTTTGTTTTGTTTTTTTATGCATTTCTTTTTCTTGGAAAGTAAGATTCACAGAGAGAAGGAGAGACAGAGGAAAGATTCTCTGTCCGCTGGTTCACTCCCCAAGGGGCTGAGCTGATCCAAAACCTCTTCCAGGTCTCCCACCCTATTGCAGGGTCCCAAGGCTTTGGGCCATCCTCGACTGCTTTCCCAGGCCACAAGCAGGAAGCTGGATGGGAAGCAGGGCTGCCGGGATTAGAACCGACACCCGTATGGGATCCCAGCCATGCAAGGCGAAGACTCTAGCCACTAGGCTACTGCACCAGGCCCTGGACAGGTTGTTTTTAGAAAGATATATAGAAGAAAACTATCATCATACTACGTATTAAAGCTTTAGAGATCATTTTAATTTAGGATTCTTTTATAGAGATGATAAGGAGAAAATGACTGAATTAGGACTTTATTTGTACCAGACAAGGTCAACAGTGACAAGACAATCAGGGCAAGATTTGTTGGCTCCACACAGGAACGCAAAAATCAACCTCACATTGTCCTTGACGCATATATGTGATAAGTATTTTATTGCCTTTGTGTGACCCGGAAAATTGTCGTCACCTCATTTGGTGTCAGTGACAGAAGCTTTCGATTCGATGGGAAAGCAAAAGCGAATGGAAGAGAATATTTTTCTTGAAGCTGTAGATCCTTGTCATGTTAAACTTTGTCTTCAATATTTTTCATTATTGACCTAATCAGTCTGTCGTATGAACACATGAATATCCTCCCATGGGACCTGACACATGAAGATTGGCTTTGGGGCACAGTATATCCGGTCCAAAGTATATCACGGATTTTAAGCAGTAGCTCGGAAGTCGTTTGTTCTCACAACATTTTTTAACTTGTTTGGCCGTTATAGTGCTTTCCAGGGTTGAAATGTTGTATAATTTATATATATATATATATAAATATATATATGGTAGACAGCCACACCCATCATATCCTTTTTCTACTTATGAAGCAAATTTGCTTATTCTGGAGTTTGAACAAATCAATTTTCTGCTGAGTCTGGTTTTCCAATAATGTCTCATCTTCCTTACGACCTGTAGCCACTGGTCTTACCCTCAGCAGGAAATTAATGTAATAGATCAGGCTAGGAGACCTAACTAACAAAGGTTCTGTAACCTAAGTTACAGAAGAAAATGTTGCATTATTCTGAGCTCTCGCTCAGCTAATGTATGGTTGATTTTCCATGATTTATACAAATGCATGATGTAAGATACAAGCGAGCGTTGTGTTGGCACGTGGTTATTACCTCGTAAGTAATAGTATTGGTAAATTAGAGGAGAGTTCGAGAAAGTACCACTTGGATTCCGTCCGAATGAGTGATGCTATTCAGGATTAGTAGAAACATTAAAAAGCTTGCGAGAGTTAACATATGATAGCTTTCTTAATAAAAATGAAATTAAACCCAGTTGACTCGCAAGCTGCACAGAGCAGTGTCTGCACAATGTGTGTTACAATCCCAGTACCTATAAAACCGTGTCACATAATACAATGTTATTTAAAAAAATAAA